CTCACGCTGGCCAATAGAATCTTCCTACCTATTCCTGGCAGCCAGCTATAGGCTCTCACTCTGGCCAGTACGAAATGGCCGCAAACTACATGAAAACTGCCGTAGAAGCATGAAAAAATCGATTATTTCCACTATCTATGGGAGTTGGGAAATGCAAAGTCGGTCTTGGCCTTCCCGCTAACTTGGAACATGTGCATGTAAATTTTGGTGCAAATCCGTCGAAAATTGCGGCCGTGCCTTCGTTACACACACACACACACACACACACACACACACACACACACACACACACTGCCTTTTATAGATAGAGATAATATATTTATATTTCATTGAATAGCTCTTTTTGTCGAAGAGTTATTGATATCATAAATTTTGGCTTACTTTCAGGAATATCGCATCTATTTTAGTATTGGATTCTGGTAAATGCTTAGTAATTCGATGCTTACTTTTATAGAATAGTTCTTTTTGTCGAAATAATTCGTATCACATATCTGTGTGAATTACTTTAAGTTAACAAAAAAAACATATTTTAGATTTACCTTTACGAAAATGCATATTAAACCGATGTTTAATTTTATTGAATAGCTATGTTTTTTTTAAGTCTAATAGATACTACATACTTTTCTGGCTTACTTTCATGGAATATTACATATAATTTAGTCTTAGGTTTAGGAAAATGCATATTAATTCGATGTCTAATTTTATGGCATAGCGTTTTTTTGTTGAATTGTAATTGATGTCGCATACCTTTCTCTCTTTCTGGGCTTATCGCATATAGTTTAGTCTTACCTTTAGAAAACTTCATAATTTCTGTCGATGTGTAATTGATATCACGTATCTGTCTGACTTACTTTCAGGGAATATCGAATATATTTTAGAAAAAAAAATTGTAAAAAACTGAATTGATATCACATAATCTTTTGGCCTAATTTCATTTAATATAATTAGTTAATAAAATATAATTAATTATATAATTATAATTAGTTATATATATATATATATATAGTTATATAATAATATACAATTAGTTAATAATATAAAATTCAATTTAATATAGCATATATACGTCTTACCTTTACGAAAATGTGTATTAATTTCATATTTAATTTTACTGAATATCTCATTTTTTGTCGGAATATAACGGATATCACATAACTTTATGTTTTACTTTCAAGGAATATCGTATATATGCCAGTTTACCTTCAGGAAAATGCATAGTAATTGGATTTTTAATTTTAATGAATATGTTTTCTTTTGTCGAAATGTAACTGATTCTAGCCATCTTTTTGGGGGTCACTTTCAGGAATTATCGCATATCTTTTAGTCTTACCTTTAGGACAGCGCATATTTTCACTGAAGAATAATTAATACCGCATATGTATTGGCTTACCTTCAGGGAATATCGCATATATTTAGCCCTTAACATAAGGACAATGCAGAGTAACTCGACATTTAATGTTATAGAAGAGCACATTTTTCCCGAAATGTAATTGAATCACATATGTTTATACCTTACTTTCAGCAAATATCGTATATATTTTAGTTTTGCCTTTTGAAAAATGCATATTCTTTCGATGTTTTATCGTATAGAATAACTTATTTTGTCGAAGTGTGATTGATACCAGATAATTTTGTGGGTTACTTTCAGGGAATATCAGATAATATTTTAGCTTTGCCTTCAGCAAAATTCAAAGTAAATCGATTTTATTGAATAGCTCTTTTTGTCGAAGAGTAATTGATATTACATAACCTTTTGGCTTACTTTTACTGGATATCGCATGTATTTTAGTCTTAGCTTCAATGAATATCGGATGTATTTTAGACTTAGCTTCAATGAATATCGCATATATTTTAGTCTTAGCTTCAATGAATACCACATTTATTTTAGTCTTAGTTTCAATGAAACGTATAAAAATGGCTGTCTACTCTTAAAGAATATCTCAATTGTATAGAATATATTTTTACCATCATAGTTTAGGAAATGACGCAACTTTTTGCTTTATTTTACAGAAAAAGAAAACAATGATTCGATGTTTACTTCAAGATAATGGATCTTAATTGATGTTTTATTCTAGTGGTGATTACATTATTTTCGGGTTCACTTTTATATTTGTGAAAAATTCATACTGATTTCATGTTTAATTTTGGAGGACAGATCTTTGTTGAATAATTCTAGTGAATACTACAGTAATTCTGAATCGTGGTGTTGCGGCACACTAATGATCCGTGTGATCCTCTTAAGTGTACCGCGAAATATTGTCACGGCACATATGTGTGTGTGTTCAAGCAGTAAAGGTATAGCGTTAGTATTTGAATAAATGAATAAGTATTAATTCTTTTTTTCAGATAATTCTTTTCACTATTTTTCGATTATGTTATTTTAAATACATTGTTTTAACATTCATATTTTAAAAAGAATTTTTATTTTTTAATCTAACATTTAAAAATTTTCCTTTACTTGAATAGATGGATATTAACCTTTTTTCATATAATTGTATTCAAGATTATTTAATTCAAACTTTTTACAAAGTTATATTGAATTATGAATTAATAGTCTTAAAAAATCAAATATACAGCATTGAGCATTTTATTTAATAATTTTCCAATTTTTTAAAAAGTATATTACTCTGAAATTTGTATAAAATGGCATTAATTATTCTGAAATTGTTATTTTTTCATAATAATATTTTATTCCACTTTCGCGCACTCTTAATTTGAAATGGAGCGCAGATAAGTTCCAGGGAGGGCAGTTTCCATATTTAAAAAAAAATCTATGGTTTTACTTCATAACATTTAAATGTATACCATTTAAAAATTTTGCTAAATGTGCCGTGATATTTTCATTTGCTCGTAGGTGTGCCGATGATTAAAAAGGTTAAGAAACACTGCTATAGTATATTTCTTTGCGATTTGCATTGAGGATATAAATAATGTCTTTGAGCATTAATTTTAGAGAAATTCCTATTCATTCGATCTTTTATAGAATGGCAGATATATTGCTTTATTACTCTTATAATGTTTCTTTTTGTCTGATTTTGCAATTTATTTTAATTCTAATAAAGATATTACTTTGTTCATTTGTTAATGTTCATATCAATAATAATAAAAATGATATACAATAGGTTTTTTTCAAGTTTTTTTTTTTATCCTTTCACCTCCAAGCAAGGCAATAAAGCCACTAAGACACCATGTTTTACAGAGTGAGAAAGAGTATGAGAAAAAACATTATTACGGACAGAGAACAATAAAAGAACAGGAATTAAGAAGACAGAACATAACGATTGATATCGCATTTAAATTTCTAAAGCTCAAAGTTGACTGGAAAACAAGAAGGCGAAAGAGGAGACCCATCAGCGAAAGCTGCAAGAGAAGGAATTGTTAGCATAGAACTTACGGTTACATCTCGGAAATTTCAAGTGTAAAATGTTGACACTTTGCTGCCAATCTAGTACTGTGATTAAACTCATAAAGTCCATGTACCAAAGCTCATTAGGGAAATTAGCAGGAAAATATTTATGAAAAAATGTTACAGGGAAGCCGCATGGAAAGTGATTAAAGACACATTGCCAGGTCAGGACCAATAACATTGTAAATTCTCCTTTAGATTTTGTGAAGGATCTCTTAATATATAGCAGAATCATCAGACTAGACGAGATAGCAATATTCAAAGCTTGGGCGGTTTATAAATGTGTGAGATAATTCTCTTTTATATTTTTGAAATAACAATGATAGCCGTATTCAAATATTTTTGGGGGAATTATTTCTTGCATACTAACATTCTTTTTAAAATTCTTTTAGCTTTTTATAGCTTTCTATTGTAAAATAATACTTCCATGCATTTCTATAGTTAAAACTTTAACATCGGTTTTCAATCATACTTACTCGGTTAATAACGTTTGTTTTTTTAATACTTGGGCACTGATAGATCATTTTAAAAAAATGCATTGTTTTGAGGAGCTTACTAAAGATCCGTGATTTAACCTCCGGCTGGTTCTCATCAGCTGAGAGGCAGCGTGTGTAAATGTGACCTAATACGGTGAATCAAGTCGAAGTTGTTGTAAGTGGCACATATTGGAAGACTGGTGTTACGCTTCAAGTAAACATAAGTTTCTGGTTATATCTTTACTCGGATATAGAATCACTGGAAACAAATGGACTAACTCGAGAACCGTTCATTACAACTTTCTCCGCATTCGAGGTTTGGTATGAAATAATACCACGATTGTTTTGTAAGTAGTCTTTTTAGTCCATTTAAAATTACTGCTTCCTTCTTGACCTCACGTATTTATCCCAGAAACCATTCCACTTTTCAAAACAGACTCTGCTTGCCATGTTCTATCATTAAAAGAACCAGATCAAACCAAATATAGAGTATCTAGATTCGTGTGATGCTAAACTTTGTATTCTCTCACAAAAAACATCCTGATTGCTTTGTGAACCAATACCGTTGTATAACAGATTCAAATTTAAAGCTGTGTGTTATTCCTTAAATTTGAAACCCAAAATATATTCTCTAGAATTATTTTCCATCCGACAAACTTCGCAGGCCTTTCGCTACTCCCCACCCCCGCTATTTCCATGGAATGTGTTTAGACGAAATATATTTCTTAGTTTCACCACTTCACGGCTAAGACTCACCATTCCACTCACATTGTAACGAATCACTCTCATTCCTTTTATATTCCATTATTGAGGTGTAAGTTCCATTCGACCAGATTCTTCCCACGAACTGCTGCTTTGTATAACCGACTCCCAAGAGGATACTTCCCCGATCACTAGAATCGTTTTCTTCCACAAGTATCTCCGCAAACTGTGCCTCTTACTATGTAACACTCTACCTCGGGGTGCTCTTAGGCCTTTTACGGGGTGAACATCATTGTAAAAACATTAAACAACAAAGAGATATTTTCGCCAAGTAATAGAGAACATTGAATGATACACGTGTCTGTACAGCAACTTTTATTCGAATCAGCTTGTCACTAAGATTTCCTTTATTTCAGGGAGAGAAAACAGTTCACATATTGTTCAGCACACTACCTCAAGGCGACGTCACAATTAGGCTGGAAGGTATACCGAAACGCTTGCCAGCAAAGAGGTACACACAAAACACGTATACGTGTGAATTGCCAGGTAAGTAAAAACCGGTATATATGAAAGCGGTATATATGAAATGGACAAAGTCCGACTATCATTTTAAGACTTTTTTTATGTTTATACGTTCTTTTTATAGATACAAATATTTAAGTAAATGTTCTGTTATTCTGAATAATAAACAGTATTAACAACATTTACCGGCCTGAATGTCCGAGAAATTTTCATAGAAAATATGCGTCCTCCGACAGGAATCGAACCTGCATCCTATACGGAACTGTCATATAGCAGATATGAATGTATGAGAGAAAATCACGGAGAATTTTGTTTAAAACAGTAAAATCGACCTTGCTAACCAAGAAGCTTCTCTATGGCTCAATCTGTAAAAGCAAGTCAGGCTATATGACGGTTCCGTATAGGGTACAGGTTCGAATACTGTCGGAGAAAGCATGTTTTCTAGGAAAATTTCTCGGCCGTTAAATACTGTTTATTATAAACAGAGGATTTACTTGAATATTTTTATCTATAAAAAGGTCGTATAAACATAAAAAATGTCTTTATATATATATCTAAACGTATATTATTAAATATAACATAATTAAGGTCTACTATGTCTGATCATGAGCCGTTTTAATACGGTCGAATAGTGATGAAGTAAGTCCGATTTGGGCAACATTTTTCCAAGAATTTCAGGTAGGATATTTTGTCAGTCAGTACAATCTTCAAGTCCAGGGTTAAATGTTATCCTTTCTGAAAAGTCCTCATTTTGTACTTGTGTCTTTTTTACGTGCATATGACGATGATTATAGTTTTATTAGTAGTTTCATTCATTGACCCACCAGCTAAAACTACTTTCGGTTGAAACTTATAAACTCTAATATTGCTACTTCGATGGCATGTGTTCTGACGAGCCACATTTCTACCACCCCAGACCATTACCCTTGGGGTCCACTATGCCTCGTACTGACTCCTCATGCTATACTCTATCGTTATAAGAAACAGATGAAACTAAAAGTGAAGTATTATTGTGATATATCGACTGGAGCTGCTTAGTCCTCACTTGATGGAGGTCAAAAGCACATACACAGCCTTGCGGGTGATGAATTCTTTTCCACCCCCAAAACACATTACGATCCCTTCATTGTTCTATCGCTACTTGACGAGCAATATTTCTTAGTACCACCATCTTTATCAACAACCGTCAAACACGACGTTTATTCACCCACCCCCCGCAATCTCCTTCGTATTCTAATAGAAAGAAGTAAGTTTGATTCAGGTAGCGTCTTCCCAACAACTGCTGCCGACAGGATGTTTTCCCAATCACTACAATCTTAACGTGCTTACATCTAGGTTTAAATATTATCTACACTATTTACATTATTCGGACTATTGTCCTCATTTTTGTCGCCATATTTATTACGTTTCGGTCGTTGTACGCTCCGGCCTTCTTCAGGTGGTTGGAATGTCGAACTGAACCCTTTATTTCGCACACTGGGTTAGACTGTTCTAGTTCCACGTGCCATGTTTTAATGGCTGTCAGTTCTCAGTTATCTCCTGTTAATTCCCCTCTGAAAGGTCTCCACTGCCTTAACGTGGTATTGAACTCACAATATTTGGGTCCTGTCACTGGATCTAACTAATGTCTTTATCCACTGCGCTTCAGGAACTTCACTACTTGCTTTTTGCACATGAATACAATACCACAAGGTAATGGCAATGGTTATATTAACAGTTTCATTCATTGACCCAGCAGCTAAAACTGCTATCGGTTGAAATTTATAAAATCTTTCCGATGAAGTAATTTTCAAGGAAAATAGTTTTATTTTTAAGTCCAGTACCAGTTATCGCTTTTTTCAGTATTGATGGAAGTTTCCTTCCTAACTTTTTTGTTTGAAATTGTGTGGAATGTTGACGTCTTGATTATGACATCATTTTCTCTTCTACTTACATGTGTTATCCATTTTAGTTGTTGCTGTCGTTGGCAGTCCTCAAGTAGTGTGTTTTCCGTTATTTGGTATAGTTTTTTGTTTGTGATTCTGTCGCGCCAATCTACAATATTCAAAGGGGGATCACTTTTGCCTTGCCACACTCAAAGCCTTTTTTCACCATCAAACTTAGAAAACCTTTGTATACAGCTGACAATTTAGATATTTCTGAACGAGTTTGATGCCATGTATGACATCCATATGAAAATATCGAACTGACAAGGTTATTTAAGAACATGGTTCAAGTTTTCAGTTTTATGTTTTGGTTTCGTAGCAATTTTCGGTGTTGGGCAAAGCCATCTTTGACATTATGTTCGATTTGATTTCCACCTATACTTATTTTCTTCTAACTGTCCTTGCAGATACGTGGCCTAGTGGTTAGAATGTTTGCTTTCAGACCATGTGACCCCAAGTCTGAATCTCTCCATGGCCGATTTGTCAGGAAGGTGACTTCTTCATGTTATCGGTCTGTGGGAGGCATTCCCAGTGGGCGGCCCCTTTGGAAAGCGAGGGAAATTGGATAGACGGAACTATTTGGGATGGTTGTGCCAGCACAAAGTCACAAGTCATCGTGGCCGAGGATTTGAGCGTCATGGACTTGTTCAGGCTGTTGACCACGCCAAATAATGCGCTCTCTCCCAGAAACTGGAATTCAGGCCCGATTAGCATAGTTGCAGTATAAACCACATACGATACGAGGATACGAAATAACTATTCCATATGCTGAGTTGTCTGAAATGTTTAATAATAAATCTACATCCTGAATTTTTATGATGGATTCAGGGTAAGTGTCACCATTGTTGGCATTCCAATTCTAGATCATAGTTTCTGTTTTGGAAAATTTACTCTATCTTGAGTGACTCTTGGTTCTTGCATTGGTGAACATAAGATATGATTAAGAAGGTCTCCGAACAAATATTATATAACCTTAATCTTTACAAATGATTCCTGAGCATGGCCTGGACACTGACAGTTACCCGTAGCTTATGATTCGTGTACTGGCACTACCTTAGAGTATGATTTCATATATCTACAAATGCCCTCTCTCTGACATTGAAGACCTTGCCTCTATAAATGTAGCACATTTTAAACATTTATGTATACAAACACAGATAGATAGATGGATAGATTTGATTGATTTTGAAATACGGTATCGGAATAATATATTCCTCTGCTTCAGTGCTTCTCAAACAATCTGATATGGTGGACAGGCATTTTTTCCTCAATGTGTCGCGTAACTGTAATATTTCGTTGTAATATTAAATTATACCGGAAACAATGTATATAATGAATATAATAAAAGTTGACTATTTTTTATCTTCCATTTATTTTGTAAAAAAAAAAATTCAATATCAAAAGATATAAAAAGTATAAAAAAAACAGTTTATTAACACAAAAACAACAATTATATAACCTTAATCTTTACAAATGATTCCTGAGCATGGCCTGGACTCTGGACGCGTACCGGTAGCTGATGATTCGCGTACCGGCACCGGTCCGCGGACCACCACTTAAAGAAGCATTACCTTAGAGTGTGATTTCATATATCTAGAAATGCTCTCTCTCTCTGATATTGAAGACCTTGCTGCTATAAATGTAGCACATTTTAAACATTTATGTATACAAACACAGACATACAGACAGATTATATATATATATATATATATATATATATATATATATATATATATATATATAGATAGATAGATAGATAGATAGATTTCATTGATTTTGAAATACGGTTTTGGAATAATATATTCCCTGCCTCAGTGCTTCTCAAACTATCTAATAATGGCGGACCGGCATTTTCTTTTCTTAATGTGTCACTTACCTGCAATATTTCCTGGTAATATTAAATTATACGATATATATATATATATATATATATATATATATATATATATATATATATATATATTTATGAATAAAAATGACAATAGGAAAACTGGTAATTGCTGACGCGTTTCGTCCAATGTGGACTTTATCAAAAAAAAAATACGAATATATATTTTCGTATTTTACTTTGATAAAGTCCACATTGGACGAAACGCGTCAGCAATTACCAGTTTTCCTATGTCATTTTATTCATAAATATTGTCTTCTACCGATTAAATCGGAATTTTCATATATATATATATATATATATATATATATATATATATATATATATATATATATATATATATATATATATATATATATATATAATAAAAGTTGACTGTTTTTTGTCTTCTATTTATTTTGCAAATAAAGAATTCAATATCAAAATATACAAAAAGTAATAAAAAAAATAAGCAGTTTATTAACACAAAAACAAAAAGTATATAACCTTAATCTTTACAAATGATTCATTAGTATGGCCTGGACACTGACAGCGTACCGGTAGCCAATGGTTCGGGTACCAACACCGATACGCGGACCACCACTTTGAGTAGCAACATTTTTAAATTACTGATGACATCTAATAGTTTTGGGCTAGTAGTTTTCCATAATGAAGGTTGCAATGATATTGTAGATGACTTTTTATTCAAAGTGTATTCATTGAGTATGCCTAAATTCCTATTTAAACATAGAATCGTGAATCTATTTTTAAATGAGTATAGAATTCTGGGTCTAAATAAAATTTAGGCACACTCAATGAATACCATTTCCACTAAAAGCCATGTACAAAACCTTTCATTCTACGAACCATTTCCTTCCGACGAATCATTGCCAGCCCGTCGCTACACTATTGCTCGTTCCATTTTATGACGAGCTATATATTCTTTAATTTCAAGAGTTCAGAAATTCGCAGCTAAGATACGACATGCCACGTCTGCAAGGACTGAAATATCATCCTTCGTATTCCAATAAGTAGAAGTAAAACTCAGATCAAATTAAATGTGGAATATTGATGTCATATCTTGACTGGAGTTGCCCAATTATCACTGACAGATTCCCAAATCGTTTACGCGACCTTGTGAGTGATCATGTTTCCCACTCTACAGCTCTTTTCACCACAGTTTCAATATCACAAGCCTATCGCCACTTCCATGGAAAATCTTCAGATCAGCT